CGACCTTATGTCTACACTACCTTCCAATAGAGGATTATTATTAGTTACATGAATATGAGAAGCCAAAGAATTATTATTACCAACGTTATGGACTACTAATTCAGTTTCAGGTTGATTTATTATTCCTGCAGATGATTCATGATGATGATCTATATCAGAAATTTGTGTGATTCTATTCATCGTACTATTTTGAATTGAATTTGCTTGAGTACTATCATCGGGGGTAGCTACAGCTTGTCGACGAGTTTGAGAACGAGTATTTTTATACATGATTAATTACAATAAGATATTTTAAAAATTTTTTCGAATTCAAATCAAATAACCGCAATCACAATATTACTTTTTATTATAAATTTCAATAAGAAAGAAAATTTTTCAAATTCAACAAAAATACAATAGATGTTATTTCAAAGATACTCTGGCATTTACCCGTTGCTCTGAGGAAAACCGTGCTAAAAACTCAGAGAGAGTGGTGGCTGTTTGAATTAAATTCACTATCATTTGTTAAATTCAAATGTTTATCATGTTTTAATGTTTTTAACATTAATTTCATAACACAAATTGTAAGTCTTCAAACTGTTCAATAAACTGTTTAACTTTTCAAATAAAATGTTCAGTTTGTTTTGTTTTAAAGAATTTTGAATTAAATCACTAGTCACTGAATTTTTGTCACTATCTTTGACTTTGTTCAAAATTTCGCACTCAATTTTATGACCATTCCACCGCTGTCACCAAAATTTGTAACGTCCAGGTTTAGCAAATGACAGTAGTGTCACCTTCTGGACCCGGCGTGAGCTCGTTGGTCGAAGTTTTGAGGGAAAAAGGCTAGATTTTTAAATGATAGAATTTTATTCAATAAAATCAATGTGATCTATTTGAATGCAGAATCAGAAGTGCGGGAGTTTAACTGTACAAATTGTTCCTTAGTCAAATCTCCCTTCCATTATTTTTTTACATACAAAGAACTTAATTAAGCTAGGCTTAAGCTAGACTTACGAATTAAAGGGAGGGATACTGCGTCGTTGTACCCATTTTCGCACTGACAAATACTCTTTTATATTAATTAAAATCGGTTTGCTTATCATTATAGCATGAAAGAAAATGTTTATTCCTATTTGTTTTATCTTGAATTGTTTCGAGTATGACTATTGAATAAATATTTAACAGGAAATATCTGGAGTGTGTCACATTTAATTAAGAGTGAGTTATTCAAAACATGTCTTGACTAAATCACCTATTTGTAAATATTGAGTTTCGGTTTATCTCATTAATTTAATTTTTTTTTAGTTGACTGTGAAATTATCTAATATATATTTTTGCATTTAAGGCTGGGCTGAAGTCAGACAGGCGACTGATTCCCCCTATCCAAATATATGGGATCGGGAAATTTCTAATTTCTTCGCCAATTTACAATTATTTCTATAAAATTAGGTACCAAATTACAGAAAAATTAATGCCGGACTGACGTAAACAACAATTTTTTGTATATAGTGAATATTTTTATTAAAAAAATTAGAAAGAATAATGAAAAAATTATGAATTGACTTGCCGCGCTTAAATTTCAAGATGGCGGCCACATCATTCAGATGAAAAATCACTAATTATTTCATTTTTATACGTTTTTCGCCCAAAATTCGTGTTTGCGTCAGTCCTTGCCACCTGTCTGAATGTTAAAAAAATCAATTCATAGTATAAAATTAAATAATTTATAAATAATTAGAAATCTTGTATTCCAGATGATATTCTCTGGAAAATTAGTTTGAAAAAATTCTGATAGGTGACAGCATTATGCTCGCAGATGACCTCAGTCATCCATATTGAAAAAATGCTCAATCCGTATCCAGAACTGATGGTGCCCTGCATTTTGGTGAGTAATTTGTGCATGAGTGTGTACGGGTAATATATGTATGTGATGTAAACATAGTGTATCACTTTACAATGCCCTACACTTTGATGACTATTGCAGTTAGGATAAATAAAAATGATGATACTCATTTAACATTAATTAATATAATACCTGAAAATAACTTCAACAAATATTCATCCATTATCATCATTTTTATTAGGTATAAATGTTAATAAAGAAGCTCAATTCCAAGTCGGCGTATCCAAGCATGTAGTGTAAAAACAAATACACACAAACTCAATATCGAGATTATGCTGGCCATGTGGTTAGAGCGTCAGAGTTCTATTTTGCCGGGCAGGGTTCGATCCCAGTCATAACCAATTTTTTTTTTCTACTTTATTCGTTAGATTAGCATGTAATTATAATATTGACATGCTATAATTAATCTTTTATAACAATTTGATTTTTTTTTCTCTTTATTCATTGAATTTATTGACGCTAAGTCGAAAAATATTTGAACAGAGCCATAAACTTTCTTTTTGTATAAATACATTGATGATAGCCTGTGTTTAACAACTTATACATCTTTACATGTATTAACAATGTTATGTTATTAACAAGTTAATCATATTATTATCAACATTGAAAAGTAGTTTAAACAATCTGTGGCGAGTTTCGGCACTTTCCCGGCAAGCTCTACCCCCAATCTCTGTGCCCAAGCCTGCAGCTTATAATTTTTTAGCATATATGAGCGTACTGAAACCATAACAGCTCGGTGGTTACAGCATCGATCTTTTATTTTGCTGGGCAAGGTTCGATCCCAGTCATGATAAAGTTTTTTTTTTCTCTTTTATTTGTCAGATTTGCATGTAATTATAATATTAACATGCCAAAAGTAATTGTTTACAACGATTTGTTTTTTTGTTCTCAATTATTTAGGTAATCGATCGACGCCGAGTCGGAAAACATATGAACAGGGTTATAAACACTTTTTTTACTATAGCTATATGAACGTAGCTTTTTTTTAAGCAATTTAGAAATATTTAGAAGTAGTTGAAATAATCCACGGGGATTTCCGGCACTTTGCCGGCAAACTCTATCCCTACCCTTCGTACTCAAGCCTGCATTATACAATTTATAAACATAAACATAATGTCAGAGATGATGTGTTAGCTCTGTGAGTAGAACATCAAGTTTTCATTTTACCGATTAGGGTTCGATCCCAGTCATAGCCAATTTTTTTCTTCCTTTTTTTTTCATTAAAATTTTATATAAATACAATAATTGGTTGCTTATATAAGTTCAAAATCAATTCCTATTGTCTTTTAAAGACAACACTTTCGAAAAAAGAGAATTCATAGTAACTCGTTCCTCACCCTCAGCTTATTTTCAGAAAAACAAGTTGTTCTCCGTAATTAATTGGAAGAATAATTTAATCAAATATATGAATTAATTTATAAGTATATAAAGTCACTTAAGCAAAAAAAAGAAAAAACAATTGCCTATGACTGGGATCGAACCTTGCCCAGCAAAATAAAAGATCGATGCTGTAACCACCGAGCTGTTATGGTTTCAGTACGCTCATATATGCTAAAAAATTATAAGCTGCAGGCTTGGGCACAGAGATTGGGGGTAGAGCTTGCCGGGAAAGTGCCGAAACTCGCCACAGATTGTTTAAACTACTTTTCAATGTTGATAATAATATGATTAACTTGTTAATAACATAACATTGTTAATACATGTAAAGATGTATAAGTTGTTAAACACAGGCTATCATCAATGTATTTATACAAAAAGAAAGTTTATGGCTCTGTTCAAATATTTTTCGACTTAGCGTCAATAAATTCAATGAATAAAGAGAAAAAAAAATCAAATTGTTATAAAAGATTAATTATAGCATGTCAATATTATAATTACATGCTAATCTAACGAATAAAGTAGAAAAAAAAAATTGGTTATGACTGGGATCGAACCCTGCCCGGCAAAATAGAACTCTGACGCTCTAACCACATGGCCAGCATAATCTCGATATTGAGTTTATGTGTATTTGTTTTTACACTACATGCTTGGATACGCCGACTTGGAATTGAGCTTCTTTATTAACATTTATACCTAATAAAAATGATAATAATGGATGAATATTTGTTGAAGTTATTTTCAGGTATTATATTAATTAATGTTAAATGAGTATCATCATTTTTATTTATCCTAACTGCAATAGTCATCAAAGTGTAGGGCATTGTAAAGTGATACACTATGTTTACATCACATACATATATTACCCGTACACACTCATGCACAAATTACTCACCAAAATGCAGGGCACCATCAGTTCTGGATACGGATTGAGCATTTTTTCAATATGGATGACTGAGGTCATCTGCGAGCATAATGCTGTCACCTATCAGAATTTTTTCAAACTAATTTTCCAGAGAATATCATCTGGAATACAAGATTTCTAATTATTTATAAATTATTTAATTTTATACTATGAATTGATTTTTTTAACATTCAGACAGGTGGCAAGGACTGACGCAAACACGAATTTTGGGCGAAAAACGTATAAAAATGAAATAATTAGTGATTTTTCATCTGAATGATGTGGCCGCCATCTTGAAATTTAAGCGCGGCAAGTCAATTCATAATTTTTTCATTATTCTTTCTAATTTTTTTAATAAAAATATTCACTATATACAAAAAATTGTTGTTTACGTCAGTCCGGCATTAATTTTTCTGTAATTTGGTACCTAATTTTATAGAAATAATTGTAAATTGGCGAAGAAATTAGAAATTTCCCGATCCCATATATTTGGATAGGGGGAATCAGTCGCCTGTCTGACTTCAGCCCAGCCTTAAATTAGGCTCCATTTTACAAAAAGACATCTATTGGCAAAAAGCAGAACTATTTGCAGAATAGTATGTACCGTGGGACATTACAACGCTTGCGCAGTAACGAAAAACGTCGTATAAGGGCTAAGAAATCAGTGGTGGGGAACCCGAAAGCAACTGAAGAACTCTTTTCTCAGTTCGACTATACACGAATACGAGCGGAGTAACCCGAAGTTCACCGAATCTGATGTTTTTCCTTGCTTACTACACAGTACCGGACATAAATGCTGTTTAATTTTTTAAAGGTTATACATGTGATTTCCCTATACCGTCTCATAGAAAATCACACAGCATTTATGTCCGGTACTGTACTCTCCCGATGAGAAAAAATCTTACACTTTTTAAAAAAGTCTTTTTTTTTTAAACAGTTTTTGACTTAAAAAAAAATTAAAATTAGCACATGAAAGAGAATCATCTGAAACGAAGATACAAAAATTTTGATGGGGTTATTCCATTTGAATTAATCAAGTAATCAGCGATAAAAGAGAGTGTGTGTTTTTTTCTCATAGCGAAGGTTCTAAAGGGTTAATCACGTATCGAGTTTATCTGAGGTTATATTTTGCTAAGTTGTGTTTTCACAGTTCCTATTATTTTTATAAAAGCTGAATGCTGGATATTATTCATTGAGATGATTGTAACAGTTTAGACTTGAGTGAATTTAAGCAAAATGTAATTCAGATTCCATTATTGGGCGCTCAAGTATTAATGAACGCAATTGAGTAATTCAATTATTTGCGTAGTTGTTGATTGCAATTGCACGTTTACTTCATCCGGTTTTTTCTTGCTCAACTATTAGTAATCAACAAATAGATTGAGACATTTTAAAGAAATTGATTTTCCCGCCTCTCCTAAAACAATTTACGCAAAAGAAGCTTTTTTTAAAAAGAGACATGTAAGTATTTTTGCTGCATTGTATAAGTGTTTTGTAATCATATGTCTGATAACTAGTGACCTGATGACACACAGTTTTAAATTTTAAGGAATATTTTAAAGTATACATATTTTGCCAAAAATTGTGTTATTTTTTTAAATAATTTGAATTGAATTCCATTTCTTCTATTATGATTCTAGATGTTCTTATCAGTTTCACCTCTCAAGCTATTGAATTGGCAATCACATAAGTCTTATTTACGAGTAATAAGAAATTTTGCAGCAATGAATAAATTTGATCTTCCAATTCGTTGTAAAGGCAACGATAAGTCTGTTTGGTGAGAAAAATTTCTTTGTTTCTAAAGAAAAAAAAATTAAATATTATGCTTATTGAAATTAATATACTTCGGTTTAATGATTGATATATATCAAAAATAAAAAATGTCTTTTCTCCAATTTCCAGGGTAGAATATATCAATCTTGCGGCAAAATATAAACCACTGAATCTTGGGCAAGGTTTCCCAGATTTCTTTGCTCCCAAGCATGTAACAGATGCGTTAGCTGAATCTGTCAAGAGTAATAACCCACTGATCAACCAATACACTCGGGCTTTTGTACGTCGAATATTTTGAAATACTTGCTGAAGAGAACGGTTTACTATTAGTATCATGTACTAATGCAATACATTTTTTTCAGGGTCATCCAAGACTAGTAGAAGCAATTGGAAAAGTTTATTCCGAAGTTCTAGATAGAGAACTTGATCCATACAATGAAATTATTGTAACTGCGGGTGCATATGAAGCTCTCTATTGTGCAATTCAAGGTCATACTGAAGTTGGCGATGAATGGATCATCATAGAACCTTTCTTTGATTGTTATGAACCACAAGTTAGAATGGCTGGTGGGGTTCCACGATTTATTCCTCTCAAGCCCGTAAGAAAGCTAATTTACAAGTAATATCATCAAACATTTCATGTAATTCATTTATACAGACAAAAACTACTGGAGCAATGAGTTCAGCTGATTGGATATTTGATCGAAATGAAATGACTCGTCTTTTTAACGAGAAAACTAAAGGAATCATTATTAATACTCCACACAATCCTCTTGGAAAAGTATTCACGTTAGATGAGCTTCAATTTATTGCTAATTTAGCAAAGAAGTGGAATACTCTCGTTATTTCTGACGAAGTATATGAGTGGATGACTTTTGACCCAGCTAAACATATCCGGTTTGGTAAATACATACATTCCTTAAAAAATGTTAGATAGTTTAATTAAATATCTACTTACTTATTAAATTTTTTTTTCTAGCAACCCTACCAGGTATGTGGGAACGTACAATAACTATTGGTTCAGCTGGAAAAACTTTTAGTGTTACTGGCTGGAAATTAGGGTGGGCATATGGTCCAGCTAATCTACTTTGGAATATTAAAGTCGTTCATCAAAATTGTGTATACACGAGCTCAACTCCAACTCAAGAAGCGGTCGCTATTGGATTTGAAGAAGAATTAAAGAGATTTGGAAAACCAGATTGCTACTTCACAAGCCTTGCAGATGAATTATTACCTAAACGTGATTATATGGCAAAGTTTCTGGAGGACATCGGTATGTCACCTACAATTCCTGAAGGTGGATATTTTATGATAGCTAACTGGAAACCGTTGGAAAAATTCGTTCGTCTTGAAGATGAGACAGATCCACAGCAAGACTACAGGTTCACTAAATGGATGACGAAGAATGTTGGAATTCAAGGCATTCCTCCATCAGCATTTTACTGCGACGAACATAAGTACTTGGGTGAGGATAATGTTCGTTATTGTTTCATCAAGAAGGATGAGAATTTACAGAAAGCAGCTGAATTATTGAATAAATGGAAGTCACAGCAGGTTTGAAGATTCTACATTCCATAAAGAAATGTAATTAATTTTATGCTTTACGTTCCGTCATTGTAAAAGTCTTTGCATTATATACGTTTCAACATCGTGTATTTGAATTCATAAATAATCATTGTCATTTCAAATAGTTTTGAAACAAAATATTTTTATTATAAGTCATTAATTTATTAATTTAAATAAATTACTTTACCACATATGGCCACAAATTTTTGTAATGTATGTAGTATAATGCTATCAATTGATATATTATATTAAATTTTCGTTACTCACTTTTGATATAAAAATAAAAATTGTGCTTATTTTCGTAGATTGTTACAACAAAACCAAAAATTTTTTTTTTAAATTTGTTAATTGTTACAAAGATATATTTTTAATAAATATCTAAAAGTTTCAAATATAATTATTTCTATGCAACCTTCGCTTAGCATCCCTGGTATCAGCTCCAAATGTTTTACCATGTCTGAAAGCAATACCAGGAACATGTCCGAGGTAATTTGGAATTAATCCAACGTGCTTATGGTAAATTTCCGTCGATTGAATGAGATATGGTGGATCTGAGCGGGAAATTGTGGCTGGTGTCCATTCAGTATTCTGACGTATTCGATAATTTGATGTGAAATCACACAGAATGTTATTTGTCGTTGAAACAGGAGATAAATTAGTTTGAGCATCACAGAAAGGCATGCATTTATTAGATTCTTTCAAACCTGAAATAAAAATTATCATTCTATTTTATTATTATTTAAAAATTAAAACATTTTAAATTTTAATTTAAAAAAAAAGCAAACAGAATTATTTTAAGTAAAAATTATTGTTTTCTCTATGAATTAATAAAAAAAAAACCATGAAAAGGACTTAAAACACGTTCTGCTCATTTTCAATGAAGAGAAAAGAAAATTTAGATTTATATTTTCTCGAACAAATTTACATTGTATGCGACTTTCATTATGTAGTTCCACTCATTAGATGGTAGGAAACTCATTAAATAGTAAAATATTTCTGAGAAGAATTTTTAGATTTAATATACGTCTTTCAATGTTGAAAGAATAAAGTAAGTGAAGTCAAAAGAAAACAGTCGGACAATTGACGGAAGATGACAGTAAAGTCGACATAAAAGTTTGAATGTAGCATAAACTATTTCTGGTGGCTACTATTACCTGGAGAATACAAAGAAATGCTGAGATTTTTGAAATTGTCCTCAGCGACTTCCAATGTCTCTTTAATAGACTGGTCTCTCATCATAGTTGCATAAGCAGGGTGAGCTGTAATTAAAGGCAACTTAGACTCAGTTTCTGGATGCTGAACAAATTATAATAATCTTTTTGATTACTGTTTAAACATTAAAATAATAATTCCAGACATTGTAATTACTTACACTACGCTCTTCAAAGTTTCCAGGCTCTGTTAAACCTCTCTGACGTGCTATAATCATCTTGAGATATTTCAGCGCAGCTCTGTCCTTCAGTTGCTTACGTTCAAAGTCTGCTAGACCTTCAGTAGCCATCACACTACATCTTTGACCAAGTCGAGCGTTCAAATTCGGAATAAAACCTTTAAAAAATATGATTATAATTGAACTTGTTTTTATTTCATAAATGATGAAAGGGAACTCATCTAGAAACTTCCAAGTTTGAAGCTGAAAAATGATGTTTCATTATATTTTAATTAATTTTTTTTTATCGTGTAATTTCATTAAATTATTGTATTATCTTTTAAATACATATTATTGAAATCAAAATTTATGCGTATTTTTATTATTTTTTTTTAAGTTAATATCTTAAAAAGGTACTGAGGAATAACACTTGTATTAAAGTTCCACATAAAATTTACTATTAGACGTAATCGAAGATTTCAAATATAAATAAAATTATTTTATGCCAACAAACGTATACTTAAAACATTTTTCTATCCAATAACATACCACTTATTTCCCTTTAAAATGAACAATTTACTTTTCCATTTAGCTGCTTCACTGTTCCTTCTTTCATCTTGATGAATAATAATAAAAACCAACTAGTATTCAATATCATTCACCAATGAAATTACATTGAATAATTATGATAATTAAAAAAACAATAACAGTTTAATGAAGAATCGACATAGCTCTTTATTATCAACTCTTGGAAGGTTTCTTAATAATACGATGTTCCCTATTCTTTTCATTACAATTATCTGATGCATCAAGGCTTTACCTTGATAGCCTGGTACCATGGGATGCTCATAAACGGCGTTTCGACGTTTAACACGAGAATTTACAATCTTTATATCATCCTCGGTAGGTCTTATCAACTACAAAATAGCCATAAAGTTGATTATGTGACTTAATAAAAAAAGATAACAAAAAACTTTTATTTCACAGACGTTTTTCGTTCTTTTGGTATCTATCAATGACTTAGGATAGTTGATAGTTGGATCCAACAGAAGCTCATGTGTTAAATTACCATAAGTTTTTCCACATCTGTAGCGATATTGTGGACAAAAGCCCGTATACCTGGAAGCCAATAAAAAATGATAATGAGTGTGGAAGGCATCTTTGAATAAGTCATAATTAGCCAATAGGTTTTACCCTGGTATCAAATGTGGTTGTGATGTCGTAAGTAATGAAACTGTTGCCATTTTTCCTTGTTTTTTTACAAATTTGATTTAACAACTTCTCTCACGAGAATGACACTTAATTTTTTTCAAATGGAAATATAAAAATAATTATTACGTTATTATTTTATTTTTACATAAGGATTTTGTATTTTTAGTCTTGATAAAAATCAAGACGTCATTTATTTAAATATAAAACAAATGCGAAATATTCAGCTAACATCTCCCCACCTTCTCTAGTAGTTTCTCTTCTTGCGTGGAACACTTTTTTTGAGTGGGGGACACCACACATTGTGTAGAATTGAAGGACTCGAAGCTAATGTTCGATTAAGGGCACTTGCTTTCCAGTTTTCTGAAGATCCACATGTTAACAATAAATCTAGTTTTTAAATAATAAATTTTGGTAAAACTTGGCAAATGATAACAATGTTTCAGTGCAATCTTGTTTTAATTAAAAGTGTTTATAGATTACCTTGGAGTTATACAAATAAAAAACTGACGCTATTAATTGATTGTCTGCATGATTTGAGTGAGTGATAACAAATGACTTTCACGTGAAGAAATTGTTCAAAGGTTGGCAGATTGACAATCATGTGGTATCATCATGAAAAAAATTCCATTTTTTATGTTGATTCAGACTACGATTCTCTTAACGTCAATAATTTAAAGGTAATATATGTCTTACGATTAATGTGATTATTCAATGTGTTTTTGTGTAATATAACATTTAATCGTGAAGAACTAATATATTATTTACTTGAAAAGTAAGTTTTTCATTGCAATTATATTTTACATATTAAAAAGTAAATCAGTTTTTTTAGTGAAATAAAGTTTATTTTTAAATCATTAAAACTGAAATGAAACATCTTCGGTTCTCCTCAAAAGAATTTTTTAAAAATAATATCTTATATTTTAATTGAAATAAAGATGTTTACTCATCAATTTCTATGTATTTAAAAAAGAGAAACGCGTGCAAAATTTCCAGTGTAGTTACACATGACTTTGGTACGTTCAAGGAGAGAATTATCCTGAAGAAAGTGAAAATGAATTAGAGGTACATGACTATGAATGCTCTATTAAGTCTGGTGTCAACAAACAAGTTTTCATAGCATGAGAGCATATTATTTAGCACGTAGGCGTTGTCATAAGAATCTTAAAAAGGATTCCCTGTATCTCATGTGTTATTAAAATCTGTCAGTTTGATGCGCAATTGAAGAATAAAGCTATTGCTTCATATTGCTGTCACACCTTGAGATTTATCTACAAGGTAATTTAGAAACTAGTAACAAAGCCAACAAAACATGCTGGTTCCTCGAGGGGGCTGTCGACACATGCTAAACCAGGTGGTAGCGTCAACGAACGTCCGGTGGGTGGTACGAACGTATGACGCGATGTACGTAACGTGAACGTACAAGTGAAATACTTGGCCACATGAAACAACATGAACGTGTCAGGATAGTATAATATTCTTTTTTATCTTTATGTCGTTGTTTTTAAAACCCTTTCGGTCGGTCTCATGTTTATTGTTCAATGCTTTATGAGTTATACATCAGTCAGTCGTCCACCGGAAACCACATTATCACCAGTGGTTCATTGACTTTGGCTATCTCTTCATGAAGTCTAAGTTATTCGGAAAATAAATCAATTTTGATAGAATAAAATAAAAAATAAAGGCAGGTTTTAAAGGTTATTTTGCTTAATAAAAATTATAATTTGTATTTTGTATACTATTTATTTTCTCTAGAGTCATATAACACAGTAATAGAATCATAATGTTTTTACAAAGAATATAAATTCTATTCAAGACAGGAACAAATGGGAAGCATTACATAATATGTTTTTATGACAGATATTATTATAATTAGATAGTCGAAAAATTTGAAAGAAATGACTAAATATTTAGATATTATTGTTGGAGAAATAAAGAAGTTGATTGTACTCTTTTTGATAACCATAGATACAAATACAAAGAGGTAAGCTTTTAAAAATGTTAATTATTTTAAACAGAAGTTGTACTAAAGATGGAATGAAAACTTTAAAAGGTTCTAAGAACGTGGTATGAAATTAAAAAAATACTGGAACAAGTTCTGAATAACAATATACCACTTGGAAATAATTTAATTAAAAATGAAACAATTCTTACCCAAGTTAAGTTATTTTAAAAATTTTTAGAAAACCTCTAACAAAAATTCTTTCAAGAAAATGAAGAAATTTGAAGTTAAAAAATGCCTTACTTTTGGTAGTAAGAGTAAATAATGGATCAAAGTTTCAACTCCACTTAAAAATTAAAAGCATGCAAGTCAAGATAAAGTTGATAAGCATTTGCAAAAAAGCCTATTCAAAGTTAATACTATAATTTCATCATTAAACTCTTTTTTATTCAGGTGAAGATAACGAATAAATATTTAAATAATACCTGGCGTGGCTATCATTGTTCAGGAACGACTTTGAGGTCCCAACAACGCCAGTCATGTCCATTGTGAAGTAGATAAAAGAAAAGAGGGACTGGCAGTGCCCAAGGGTTACTTTGAGATCTTTCATCGCCGGTACATTCTCTCTGACTCATCGCACGCGTCTTTTTTATTTTTTATTCTCTTTCGTGCATCAGTTGACGCGAGTCTTGTACGTGAATCGCGAGTAAATTATGTTCTTGGATTATTCTCTCTGTAATAAAATAAAAATAAAAAATAAGTAATGGTCGATAGAAGTGGAGAAAAACAAAATTTTAACATACAAAGTGATGAGTTTTATCAGAAATCTCTTCAAAAGGTTTAAGTAAGATCCAAACTTACGATAATTTTAGGTCGAAGGTCATTGCTTCTGAATTTTATTTCTTTATTTATTTTTTATGAGCAATCAATTTGTTCCATTACCCGATTCATCACTAACTGAAATTTTTTCTTTTTTTATAAATTTATATTTGATAAATGCGAGTTTCTAAATTCCTGGCCGCTGATAATTACCGTTACATTGAGGCCTAAAATTCTCTATTTTTTCTTCAAACTTGATGCAAAAATCTTTTTCTTACACTTTCTCTAATTTACGTGATTTATACTTGGATTTTATGGAGAGCTTTTGCATTCCTTGATGAGAGACTAAGGTCACTGGGTCATGAGCTAAGTGCATCTTGAAGTCCACATAACATCGAGTAGAATGTGAGAGAGAATCGCCAAGTAATCTAACCAGGCTTCTAGCATACTCAATTATCTTCTTTTTTTCTCATCTATTTCCTAATTTAACATTAAAATTTATTTGCTTCAAAAGCAAAGTCTCCCATTTCCAAGTTAGCTTCCAAACTGTAGTTGGAGTAAAGTACATGTGGAACACAAAAATAGGAAATAAAAAGAAAACTAGCAAAAAAGGTATCTTCCAGAAGATAATTACAGTGTCTAGAAGACATTCAAACTCATTTGAGAAGCTTTGTAGGCGTGACTTTAAATTATTTTATCTATCCTCAAGGAAAAGGCTTTGGAGATGTTCTGCAATCGTATTTCTGTCTCTCAAACCCTTAATTGTAAAATTAGTCACAATAAATTATCGAGGTGATGTGAAATACCTATTTTCAGAACATCAATAACGAGTTACATGTTGTTCTGAGGCTTTTTTATCAATGTCATTAATTTTGAAACATTGGAATTTATTATTTTTATCATTTTTTTTTTATTAAATTCACTAAAGGAATACCAAATGGGATGGAAAAAATTATGAAAGCATTCGATTATTTATTTAAATGTAAAATCAGTCACAAATACATTAACGTAAAATTATTGTTTTTTGAATGAATTTTTTATTCATTCTTTAATCATAAATAAACAAATTATCATTTATACGCAATATTTTGGTAAAATCGTATATTTAAAATTAAAGCAAAAACTTTTTCAAGCACAAATTCATCTCAATAGCACCTTGTAGGCGTGACATTAAATGATTTTATTTATCGCTGACCGGAAAAAAAATTAAAATAACACCAAAGACATTTCTCAGTCGTATTTCTGCCTTTTAAACCTTGAATTATAAAATTACAAATATTGAAGCAACTATAAGAATGTCCAAGTGGAATGTCCATATACCTTGAGGGTTTAGTTATATCTCCTCAGGGCTTTCAGATAAGCGAAGTCATTTATTAAAGCTTCTCTCGATAGTTTGTAGCATTACAATCATACATCTTCAATTCCACTTAGCTCTGAGGTGCTATTAAAACACGTAGAAATGACTCATCAGTCTTTCTAGATGCTAAAGCATAATAAACCTTAACACTGTACTTGCACATTTAAATTTCTTTTATGTTTAAATTTGGATTTTCCCGCTTCCTAATGCGCCCGCGTAGTTGCGCGATAGTCTTGTGTCCTTTCAGCGCTGTTGCACGCTTCAGTTCATGAGTTTTATTTTGCCGTCAGTGACAGTGAGCTTCTGATCGTAGTAACACGTAAATAGGGCTATAAAGTCAAGTTTTTCTTTGTTTACTATAAAAATAAAAGTGCTTTATTGATTAATCAATGCATTAAATTTAATATGCAACAATGGTGAGTTTAAAACGTATTTTTTAAATTCAAAATACATCTCATCCTTACAATTGTCTATAAAAAATTTGTGATTTCTCTATTTGCCTTGGAACAAGTATTGAAAGTCTGTAATAGACATACTTATTTTATTAATTTTAAATTTTTAATAACTTGAAAAAGAATGTTGACAGTTATCCAAGTTAATAATTATCTAAAATTGTATTAATTAAAGCGAATAATCATGGAATTATTAATAATTATTTCTGTGAACGACTCTGCTTGATGATGCATTTTCTATGGTTAATTTAATCTATTCTTCAGCTTAACACAGTGTAAAATCATAATAAAAGACAAAAACAATAAAAAAGGTAGAAATACTTGACTGATTATACCTTTTCTACCTATTTTTAATATCAAATTATTAATGCTTTTTATTTTCTGCCTAATGAAATTAATGATTATTGTAAAGTACAGAAAATGAACTAAACCATAAAATACTTCAATAATTGAACCTCCCATTAATTATTAATGACGGCCAACAAAGTTTTTTTTTGTTTAATTTATCGAACTTTGGATTCTACTTTATGAATTCTGAAATCATAGTAAAACTTGAGGACAGTAAAATAGTTAAAAAACAATTAAACATATCATCATTGAATTGGAATTTTATCTAATTATTATAATGGTATGTAAAAATTGTACTAATTCCACGA